TATTTTTTTCAATAAAATAAATGAAATGATAGCATGTGAGTTTTGATCCTCTTTGACCATCACATTTAATCATGGTTACATAGTAGCACCAAAATTAGGACAAAATACAAGAATTACAGGAGAGATCTTAAATTTTATGAGCTCATTGCATGCTTTAAAAGGTCACATTTATGAGGAAAAAAGTTTCCAACTGCCAAAACTTTGCTGCATTTTCTCCACCGCCCCAAAAATATACCCCAATCCACTCCAATCTAAACAAAAGATACAATAGACTGATTTTTGAATAGATATGTTATCTACAGTTTATAGGACAGACAGTCCATTTAAATAGAAAAAGACTGATTTTACATAAAGCAAGATAGAGTACAAAAGCACAGCTTTTGTAATTTTGGTAATATTGCAATTTTACAAACATGTTGCATAGTATGTGTAAGAAAATAGTTCCATTTTCATATATCTATATACACAAGAAAACATTTACATGAAAGTACAAAACAAAATAAATGAATAGTGGACCTGATTTAAAGAATTGTATAAATAACGAGACGCTCAAACTCCAGATTACATATTTCCATTGTTAGTGAATGTCCTTGCATGTCTTTAACCCTGTTTGGCTTTTATTTATAAATATTCAAACAAATGAGATCTTAAAACTGAAAAAAACCAAAAAGAATCACAGTTCATTATAACTTATTTCCTTTAATGTTTTTCACTGACTTTCTCAAAGAGCAGAGCCACATCAATTAACACTTAAAAAAATAGCCCTCTCGTTCTAAAACTATTTCAAACTAATATATTCTCCAAATGATTTTTAGCAAGCATTGAAAGTTTAAACTCAGCTGAGTAAATTCATTTTGGGCCCATTTTGGAATATAGTCTTTATATACTGGTTTTGTGGATACCAAAGAGTTTATTATGCATGTATAAAGATAAGCGAACCTTTTCCTTCTAAAACAAAAGCATTAATTAATGTCTACAGCTCAGAATCCTGCAAGGAGGATGTTGACTATCTCATGTTATAATTATAAGCCCCCCTATTCATTTGAATAAATTAGTAGAAGCAGCAGTGTTTTAGAGTTAAATACAATAGAAATCCCAGTCTTTGGTCTTTGACATTTAAACAGATAATGAACTGCAGTATAAAACAATATGAATAACAGTGTTCAATGATATTATTCATTAGTTTATGATTGTTTAAAAAGAATAAAAATACAATGTAATTTTACTTTATGATAATCGTATTTTGCAATATTCATTACTATAATATATACTGGTATATAGAGCAAATAATTTCTCCATGTATCTTTAAATATGGTCACATGAACAATTCTAATTAGACCAAAGCTACTGGAAGAATAAGATGACAAGACCTCACCCATATAAAACTCAAATATGAATTGGCTTTGAACGTTGTATAGAAAATTTGGCCTTTAAATACCTTCGACTATTTTAATCATTTAATATTATTATATTGATGGCTGCTACAAAATATAATACTTATATGCATTAAACACTCTGCAGGCTATTGCTGCCTCATACAGAGATAGCATGTTTGCAATAACATAATTCATAAGGAGCTTTATTGTTTCAAATACTATTTTTGTAAAATGAGGCATTGTCCAATTGAGTCATTCACATGGTAGAATATGTAGAAATTCTGAATGGCATAACGTTATAAAAAATTCAGCAATTGATTTCTGTGATCACATTACCTTTTCTTCAAAAGACCAGCACTTTTTAGCTTGAAGGAGATAAATAATAGTAGAAAGACCAACAGAATGTTTATAGTTGGTAAATATTTCTATTAATTTCCCAAATAGTCATTTTTAAAAATGACATTCTTTTCCTTTTTAATATCAATTACATTACTGAAGTCTGTCAACCAAGCATCATTTTCCCAAAGGGACCTTAGTATTCAAATGTAAGAGCAAATAAGGGAGGATAGAAAAGGCCATAGGAAGTAGGATGCCAAAACGATTTGCATTTCAACATTTATAAGCAGCTTTTTAGGTGCCGAAGGAGATCACAAATGCTAGTTCAGACTAGGCCACTGAACCCAAGATTGCCAAGTGTTTTCTTAATGAATCAGTGAAATTTAGAGATGAAAGTGACCAATAAAACCTCTCACAAATAAGTAAACAGTGGCTAAGATAATCAAATACATTTCTTAAGGATATTCACATGGCTGGCTAGGGGCAGAACTGGAATTGGAGCTCCTGGCTCCATTTCCCTACATTTGGGGTACTGTAATCTAAAATTCCCAAGTTACAGTAAAATTTGAAGTGTATAATTACCTTAAATCCTTAGATAAATAATTATGTTCCAGATTATAAAGCATTTGGTTCATAATAAAATAAGGACAAAAAACAGGACTAATAAGTACAAGGTAGAAATGTTGAAGGTATTGAGCAAAAGAGCCAGAAAATTTGGAACTTTTTTGTTGTTGTTGTTTGAAGTGTTTTATTGAAATATTCTGAAAGAGAAAAGATTAATGTGTCCTCTTTATAGCTGCCCTTTTGATTGCCCAAAACTGAACTCAAATGCATCTCAGTTTATCCATTCCTGGCAAGGAACTTCAATGCTGGGAATAATACCAACCCCCTTTCTTCCTTCTTCCCTTCCCACCTTCCTGGGCTAAAGTGAGTATGACGTTATTCAGATACAGGTAATAAGGTATCTGAGTGGGCTCCCTTTAAAGGAATCATTTTCTGAGTGTCATTTAGGGAGGATGAAATTTACATTATATAAGTAAACTGCATTATATTTATATATGTTGCAATGTAATGATGGTATCGGGAATGCAGATAATGAATCTGTTTGGGTAGTCTGCAATGAAGGGGACCTCTGTATAAAGAAAGAATCAAGCCTTTTTAAAGAAAGAAAGGAAAGAAAGGAAGGAAGGAAGGAAGGAAGGAAATCAAAGACTTTTAGTAGCACTTTTCTAAGCCTTCACAAGAAACTCGAATTCGGAGTCTGGGTCTATATGTAATTTCTGAGGAATTTGAAATAGCCAGTCAAATAATTTAAACCAATTATTTAGTGTTGGATAGAAAAGCCATTTCCATCATTACTTTTTTCTAATAAATTGAACAGATATTTTTATATCATCTGGACATAGTTTATATCTCTCAAGCTTATATATTGTTTTTGAATTGTGTCTATACTTTTTGGAATATATTTGGATTAAAAATTTGATAGCCCTTCATTGGAATTGGTTTTTACATTTTTTTCTCATTATTCTTCTCATCTTTTCTCCTTTTATGACATATGATTTAAATTTTCAGTGATCTCTTCTGCCTTCTATAATATTTGTTCTTGCAATTAGAATATATTAGAATTGGAAGGGACCACAAGAGACCATTTGATCGGATACTTTTGCTGTAAAGTTGAGTAAACTGAAGTCTGGAGAGATTCCAGCCTGCCTAAATCAGCTCAGTTGATTAGTAGAAGACAGATGAGATTAGAAACGGGGCCAATTACTAATCAAAAATATTGTTCCCATTTGACTAAAAACTTTCTAATTATTTTAATTTAGGAATGATTTCAACTTGAATAGGTCTCAAATTAATACATAATGTTTTCTTTAAAAGTCCATAATATAGTGATTAGCACCCATAATTTCTTGAAATTTCTTGTATTTTACTTTGAGTATTTTGCAAAGATTAATGTGAGAATTTCTCATATTAAATTTGAATGTTGTTTTAATATAAATTAAACTCATTTATGATATTATTGTTTAAGCATTTGTATATCTTAATTCTTACTCCAATATTGATTTATAGATTTATATTATAACCCCCAAACACAAGTCAAGTTTTATTTTAAAAATAATGAAATGAACTAGCTTTCAAACCCTTCTGCTGAGTATAGTGAGATGAAACTTTTTCAATGATTCAATATCTTGTTATTCAGACAAGATAATTCTGGCCAAAAATGGTTCACTTTTCTTCTTGCATTACCCAATATTCCTACTTTCACTAACCAAATTTCTTCAGCAAGTACTAATCGCCCTCTTCACTCTAAGCTGTATAGACCTGAACTCCAAAGGCGCTACACCCATTAACCCTCAAAATGAAGCTTCAACACATCTGGTAAAAGTGTGCATGGGGGAGAAAAAGATTGATTGACATGTGAAAATTGAGGACTTACCTTATAGGAATCATGTCATCTTCCCATAATAGGAAATATTTAATACAGTTTTACATTCTTGGATTCTGTAAGTTTCAAGAATTTGAGTTAAGGAGTGTTGTGATAAATGAATCTACAGTATTCTGGAATTGTTTATTAAGAGCTAATTTACAAAAATGAGCAGTGGAGAATGGAAAGATCTGTGATTTCTGATGTCAGGGCAGCTTAACAGTCTAATAAAAGTAACTAAGTGTTAACAGCTGAATAGAAATGTGACCAAACTCCTTAAAATATAAATCTAATGGAATGAACACATTTTCAATATGTTTATTAACATTGCTCTTTTCTTACTGTTTAGTCAAGGATTTTTAATTTCAAACCCCCTTAAATCTTAACCTTCAATAAAAAATAAATGGAGAATAATTCTGAAGATGATATCCCAATGGAAAGTCAATCCGTTCTCAGCAGTATGCATCATATTAGTATTTATTTATTTAGAAGATGATTGAATTTTCGCAGTCAGAGTCACGTATAAAGTGAGTGGAGCAAACAAAAATTTTACTATTAAAACCTAGGCGTGAAGGATAGCATGTGAATTTTTAAAGAAATGGTCTATGGATCTCACATCCCTCTTAATCCTATCTCATATTGCAATAAATTAGATGTTTTGTTAAAAGCAAATACATCACATGCAATAGCCAAGTAAATACTATATAAGGCCATCCAGATCTGGCAAATGACAGTATAATGGTATTTTATTAATTCTGGAAAGATTATATTGCTGAGTGCTTTCAAAATTACCTAATGTACAAAATTCTAGACTTAGTAGACAAAGAGTAACAACACATTGAATTTAAAGAAACTAAGAAAACTCAGGGAAGGATTCTGTCTTGTTTTGTTTTGTTTTGTTAAAAATCATGTATTGAATTTAATTTTTATTAAAGCAAGCATTACATAATGCTTCAAAATTTTAAAATTTGGGGATAAAAGTTTACATCCAAAAAGATGAATGGAAAATTGTGCTTTCAGACTGTAGAATTAGTTTTCTTACAGGGTTAACCATTTCATCTTGCCATTGGATACTGGGAATTTCATTTATGTAATGTATATATGTGCAGTTCATATCCAGGTCCTGCAAAAATCTAAAACTGTGTGCTTCACTGCATGTAGCAAAGGCACCTATGTTATTCTCCCTTTTGAGCAAAAGTTCTGATCCAGTTTTCCTGCTGACGATGGTTTTTCCACTGCTGTGTCACTCACACTCTCTGTGTTGAGCAGTACTATAAATCACAAGAGAAGGTGGTGGCGAATCCCAGCTCACACTGGAAGAAGTTGCTCTGTGGACCATTTGGAGAAGCTCTGGACTGATCACAAGGGAAACCGAGCAGAACTGTGAAGCAGACGGACAGGAACAAAAGGCTATTCTGGTGTGAGGAGAAATCAGTCACTTCAGCTCCACAAGCAGATGTTGCTACTGGACTGACACGTGGAACCTACTCCTGCTGGAGAAAGGTAAAGTTTGCCATTGGGGCAGACACAGAGTTCGTACACAGTCTGTCGAGAAGTTGAGGAGCTGGGTAAAGAAGATGAAAATGAGCCGGTTGGTAGATTTCCCAGCCGGATTGTATCTGCATTTAAAAATATCTAGGGAGAAAGAAATTGCATTTTAATTCATATTAGTAATCTACGTTTCTCAGAGCGTTGAGTAATCTACAACCCTCCTCAACATGGTCTAATAAGGAAGATGACACAACAAATAATTCTATTGGTTTAGTGGCCATGCTTTGTTGAACAAACAAATTACATTCCTACAGTATAGCCCAAAAGCTCTGCAGCTATCTTCTCCTTTGAGAGATGGTACACTCTGACAGAATGCCCTTGATCTGAAAAGCAATATTGCACAATCTGCTTAAGGGGCCAATCCAGTTATTCAAACACCACAGAAAATTAATGATTTTCACAGGGTCTCTCAATTTAACTTCTTAACTACGCATAGTCTAAAGAATATACAAAGAAATAAGGATGTCAGTGGATATGATATTACTGAAGAAGTGGGCAATTAATTAAAAAAACAAACAAAAAAACCCTCTCTGGGCTATTTTTAAAAATACTCATAAAAGTGCACTGACTTGCAGTCCAAAGGATATACCAAGTACATAACGAGCACAATGAACAACATAACTATTGTACATAATGCGATTTGAAGTCTCCATGAAACATATTAGCTATATTCAACACCTATTTCGTTAAACCTTCTGACTCGGGAAATCATTTATTCTGAATCATAGACTCATCACTTTCAGGGACAACAATCATATGGTTTTGACAGGCATGGGGAAAGTTCCAGAAAAGGAAAAATTGGATCATGAAATTTAATGAGCAAAGAAACAGCTCTCTTCAGCTATTTTTTTATTTCATTGTTATGTAGCTAATTACTGCCTAAAGTACATCACTACATTGACAGGATAAATAGAATCTATTCCATTTTCTCCATCTTTGTCCTAGTCCAAGTCCTATTTGGTTTGCACTAGGAGTCCTGCAGTAGTCCCCTAAATGTCCTCTCAGCTGCCATTTTTGTCCTCTTATCAATTTTACCTACTTCTGGAGTGAACTTTTGGGAAATGCAAATCAAATTAAGTCACTCTAGTGCTGAGAACTCTCTACTGTCTTCCATCACACTTCAAATGAATCCTGCTGTCTTTCCATGGCTCACAGGCCCTACAGGATCTAGCCTACCTCTTTGACATCATTTCCTGTAATTCTTCTCTTTGCTCAAGTTCTTGCATTTTCTCAAAAAGTGAAAATACCAAAAGCACTCTAGCCTCAGAGCTTTTTTACTCTGTATTTCCTCAAACCCTAAGTATCTTCAGATACTTACACGTAGGGTCAGATATGAAACGGATGGTTGGGGAATGGGGTGGGAGGGAGATTTCCATTGTTTACCTTTTTTATACATTTTTAATTTTTTTTTTTTTTTTGAGATAGAGTCTCACTCTGTTGCCCTGGCTAGAGTGAGTGCCGTGGCGTTAGCCTAGCTCACAGCAACCTCAAATTCCTGGGCTCAAGTGATCCTCCTGCCTCAGCCTCCCGAGTAGCTGGGACTACAGGCATGCGCTACCATGCCCGGCTCATTCTTTCTATATATTTTTAGTTGTCCAGATAATTTCTTTCTATTTTTTTTTAGTAGAGACGGGGTCTCACTCTTGCCCAGGCTGGTGTTGAACTCCTGAGCTCAAACAATCCGCCCGCCTCGGCCTCCCAGAGTGCTAGGATTACAGGCGTGAGCCACCACGACCGGCCCATTTTTAATTTTTGAACTATAGGAATCTACTGCATGTGCAAATAAGCCATAAAAGGAATTCATATACCATGAACATATATATTTTAGATTAATTTAGATGCAAGCAAGTTTTCCCCAATCTCTATTCAAAGGTACCTTCTCAGAAAGAACTTTCCTAAGCACCCTATTAAAATAACACTAGTCCATTCATCTTTACCAGGTACACTTCTCTAAAGGAGTGGTCCCTTCATAACATTATATTAAGTTTGTGATTGTTCATTGATTATTTCTTCTACTTGCAAGTAAGACCCATGAAGATAGGGCCTGTCTTTGGTTCGCATCTATAGAACAATGCATAGAATTCTGCAGTGTGTGCTGAATGACATGATGCTCTTCCTTCACCTTGGACATCTCTCTCCACTGTAGGGTTCAAATACACTCACCATCAAAGCCCAAGTCATCTACTTTCTCCTCCATGGATCTTTCCCTGATGCTTTCAGATGGAAGAACTCTTCTTATTTTGCTCTCCCTTAGCAATTTATTATTTTTAATATCTTATGCTGCTGATCACTTGATATGTTATCTTATAGCCACGTTTATATCTTACTTTCCCTACTGAACTATGTTCTCCTTAAAGGCAGAATCATTCCTAATTTTTTTTATAACTTCACAGTGTTTGACCCTGCATGTACACCTTTAATATAATACAAATAATTTTCAAATAAATAAATAAATTATAAAATAAATGGATGGCTGTATTTAGCAACAGTATTCATGGTTAAATAGCATGATTAAAGCTTATGTTTGTATGCGTCGAATGTTGAAACATATTACTCCATAGTTGCTTCTGTGTTAAGTGACAGGAAAGCAAAGAGAAATAAATGATTCTGTTCTAATTTTTTTAACAAGTCTTTTTTTTTCTGATATGAAAGTAAGAAGCGCACAAAAGTAAGCAAAAGAACATGGCTGTGCATTTTTGGGGGATGGATGTTGGGCCTTATTTCCTCTTGCTCTGTGTTTCCATGCTGAGGGGCATTAGTAAGTGAAACACTAATTGTTACACACTGGGCTGTCTTACTTCTCCACAGGGCAGGAGAGATGACCCCTTTTATCGACTGAATTTAAGGGCAAGTGGACTTGTACAGCTCAGCTCCTTTTTCTTACTTCTTTTTAGGAGATAGCATGCTTTCAGAGAGCAGGCATTTTCAAGGTTTGAAAATGCTGAAAGTATTATAGGGACAAGCTCTGGGTCTGTAACGTTTAGGTCTACAGATTTGGAAGTGAGTTAAAGAAATGCTAGGTGGGAGAGTGGCAAGATGGCTGACTAGAGACGTCACTTGTCAGAACGTCCTGGCCGGAAGGTAGAATATTGGCCTGAGGAGAGCAGAGAGGAGTTGCAGTGCAGGCGTAGATCACAGAGAGAGACAACTGAGGCAACCAGACACCCATAAAGAGAAGCTGTGAAGCTGAGAAAGAGAAAGATAAAGAGGAGACGACAGTGGCGCATATCAAACCCAGAGGCACTCGGAGCCCAATGAAAGGGCAAGGGGGGCTTCCCTTCCCCCACCTACTTGCCTTTGGTGATCAGCAGGACAAAAAGTATATTGAAGGTGTTTCCACCCTTCACGAGGCCAGGCAAAGTGGCTAATTAGGAATAGTGGGGTGAGCAAGTGAGCCCCATGAATTCAGGTGTCCATAAGAGACACCCCACTGGAGAGCATCGCAAGAGACCGGAGTGTCAGCTTTCTTACACCTAGACATTTCCTTCTCTACACCTCCCCTATTCATGGAATCTGAGAAAGTGCTTTGAACTTGGGCTGACTGGGAGATGCCAAAGCAACCTTAAGCGAAAGGAACAAATAAGGAGGTGTTACTTTACCTGACTTCGAGCTATAGTACAAGGCTATAGTAATCAAAACAGCATAGTACTGGCATAAAAACAGAGACATAGACCAATGGATCAGTACAGAGAATCCAGATATAAAATCATCCTCATGTTGTCATTTGACATTTGACAAAGCAGACAACAATATACACTGGGGAAAAGAATCCCTAATTCAACAAATGGTGCTGGGAAAATTGGATAGCCACATGTAGAATACTGAAACAGGAGCCTTACCTCTCACTACTCACAAAAATTAATTCAAGATTGATAACCTTAAACCTAAGGCATGAAACTGTAAGAATTCTAGAAGAAAATGTTGAAAAAACTCTTCTAGATATCAGCCTAGGCAAAGAATTTACGAAGATGACTCCAAAGCCAATCACAGCAACAACAAAAGTGAATAAATTGGACTTGATTGAATTTAAAAGCTTCTGCACAGCCAAGGAAATAATCAATAGAGCAAATAGATAACCTACAGAATGGGAGAAAATATATACATTCTATACATCTGATGAAGGGCTAAGGACCAGAATCTAAAAAGAACTCAAGCAAATCAACAAGAGAAAAATCAAACAATCCCATTAAAAAGTGGGCAAAAGACATGAACAGGAGCTTTTCAAAAGATGATAGACTAATGGCCAATAAACACATAAAAAAATGCTAAATGTCTCTAATCATTGGGAAATGCAAACCAAAACCACAGTGAGATATCATCTAACTCCACTGAGAATGGCTTTTATCAAAAAGTCCCAAAACAACAGATGCTGGCGTGGATACTGAGAGAAAGGAACACACTTATACACTGTCAGTGGGACTGCAAACTAGTACAACCTCTATGGAAAATAGTATGGAGATTCCTCAATCAACTAAAAGTAGACCTGCCATTTGATCCAGCAATCCCACTACTGGTATTTCCCAAAGGAAAAAAGCCATTTTATCAAAAAGACACTTGCACTCGAATGTTTATCACAACACAATTCACAATCTCAAAGATGTGGAATCAACCCAAGTGCCCATCGATTCATGAGTGGATTAATAAAATGTGGTATAAGTACACCATGGAGTACTACTAGCCATAAAAAATGAATTAATATCTCCTGTAACAACCTGGATGGAACTAGAGACCATTCTCCTAAGTGAAGTATTACAAGAATGGAAAAACAAGCACCACATGTACTATTAAATTGGAACTAACCGATAGCACTCGTGTGCACATATGGACATAAAAGTCAATGGAAATCAAGCAGGTGGGAGGGAGGAGAAGAGAAGTGTATAAAATCACACCTAACAGGTACAATGCACACTATCTGGGTGATGGCTGCACTTATAATTTTGACTCAAACTGTACAAAAGCAATTCACGTAGCCAAAATATTTGTACCCCTATAATATTCTGATATAAATAATTTTAAAAAATTCTCAAAAAAATAAAAGAAAAAAAGAAATGTTAGGAGATGTTTTGGGCCAACAAACTTTGAAATATTGATAATAAGGAGTGGAATATTTAAAGCTAAAGAACATGTACAGAAGAAGGCTTATGTGGGATTGATCAATGACTGTTATGAATGGTGCCTTCATTTGTAAGCACATAAAATATGTATTGCTAGTTAGCCCTGGAGGATTTCAGGCTGTGGCTTACACCTACTACACCTCTGGCTTTTACAGCTTTGGAATTGGTTGTCTTTCAGTTGGTATAGCTTGGGTGAATAACTGCAGTGAGTAGCTGTTTAATATAGGTAATATTTGTAGGTGGCAACCTAAGATATCAAACCTCATTAATGGAGTAAGGCTTGGAGCACTTGGGCCTGATGGTGTGTAGGCTGCTTCAGCATAGCCATAGTGGTGTTATCCAGTTCTTCCATCCTTTTAGGGGCTACTTTAGATGGCATTTGGCTATATGACAATACTTAATTCCATAAGCTTCTGATATCCAAACTGTATAAAGAAGGTAGATTTTATTAACAGAAAAATTCATTCATATGGGGCCCTTAGAAAGAGAAAATGCTATTTTCTTGGCTTGAGATAGAAAAGTAAAACCATGAAGTAAAAAGGGCTTTTATATATTTATTCCTTACAGCACTATATTCCTGAGCCTCTCCAAGTCTTTGCAACATGGATGGGCTTAGCTACGTCTTTTGCTGTTCTGCCAAAGCGGTTACTTGATGCTGTTCGCTTTCTAACTTCTAAAATTGGGAAGTCTATTCTACATTTCCCTGTAAACCATATAATCCATTTTTCTGAAACTCTTCACTGTTCTCAGAATCATATTTCTGAGCTTTTAAGTCACAGTCCCCTGTCTTCTCTGTACCAAGAATTCATTTATCCCATTCTTAGCTGTTGAAATCAGGCCCATGACTTTTCATAGAAAATCTTAATTGATTGTCACAATAAATTTGTTTTCCTTCCTGTATAATCTTGTGGCATATATGTTGTTATGGGTTAGTTGTGTTGCATATGCTATTATACCAGTTACAATATTCTATATGCGATTATGATTCATTTTGTCTTCAGAGCTCAGTTTCAAATCCCATGCACTACCTTGTGTGATATGACTGAAAATTCTGCAGTGCAGAATTTTATGTACAGTTTCATTCTTCTGCATTTCAAACATTATTTTGGATACCTCAATACCATCTCTGCTCTGATATTAAGTATTTTAAAAACTCTCTAAGGGTAGGAACTTTATATCCTTCTGTATTGTTTAGTAAATGATTAATCTGCCTTTCTGTGGCATAGTCAATGTAACAAAAAAGATTTTATAGCATTTCTCACTTCTTCATGAGAAAATAACATCTATTTTATTATAATATAATATAAACTGCTGTGCCTTTCTGTACTTTTATTTTATTAATATGAAGACAAAACACAGATAAAAACCTCTGGCTATGAGTTATTTACAGCATAATACTCAACGACAATTACATGCTAACCTATAATTGAATCAAAGGATTCTGCTGGTATATTGAATAAAAGAACACAAGTAAGTGATTCATAAGTAGGGGCAGAACATAGATTAATATCCACCAATATTTATTATGGTACCATTTGTTATGAATACTTTGAATGAAACAATTAACATGATAAAAGCAACTCTTTAAAAAGAATGCAAGGTGTTTAAAAAAGATTTCTGTCTTGCTGTGTTAGACAAATTATTGTAGTCTGCAATTGTTGTGGAAAGAAATCCTGAAAGGATATATGGATATATTTTTTAAATATTATAAGCATATTTCTAGATCATTTATGTTGTAATATCCACCAAGACACTAATATGGTCCTGCAAAATATATAATTAAAATTTCTCTTGAATCAACAACTGAGATAATGGCATAAAGGTAAAAAAGGAATATCCTTATTTTGATTCTATTAATTTATGCCTCATCATTACACCTGAATAGGTGTGAAATGCTCCAGAGCATGTCTCTCTGAAAATTTATCCTTTCATTATTTTTGTTCTCAATTTGATCTTTGGGAATTCATAATTAAGAAAATATACATAAATATGAGAAGAAAAATACTAAAGAAATGAATTGGTTGGAGCAACAACACAACAAATGTAGACCTTTAAGGACTTTGAGAATTCTAGTAAAAAAATACAAGAATATGAATCATGTACAAGCACTTAAAACAATTAAAGTAGGATTAAAAACAGACAAAAGAGCAACTGCCAAGATGTCCAGGCAGATTTGAAAATTAACAGATGAGACTCCTAGAAATTAAAAACATAATCATTACAATTAAAAGCTCAATGTATGGATTAAATAAGAGATTAGATACTGGGGGTGGGGGGGACCTGGGAATATAGACCTGAATAAGTCAGTAGAGTGAGACACAGAGAGATAAAGAAGTAGAAACTGGGAAGGAGAGGCTAAGAGATCCGGAGGGTAAGAAAATGGAAAGGTAGAACACTTCTTCAGAGTGTCTGCAAAAGACCATAGAGAAATTGGTGAGAGCTAATGCTGACGAATTTCCAGATTTGACAAAAATCTGAATCTGCAGGCACAAAAATCACAATGTATATAGCAAGTAAGGTAAAAGAAATATACGTATACCTATCACATGGTGGTGGAAGAGTGAAACACCAAAGACAAAGGGTTATTTAGAGCAAGCAGTGATAAAAAATAAACAATGTTTTAAGGAGTGGAGACAAGACTCAAAGGAAATGCTTAAGGGAGAAAAGTGACATGGAAGAAAAATATTATAATCTATACCCTTATCCAGGAAATAAATTGTGTCTTTCTTTCAGAAAAAATATAGATACTCTCTCCATGGAAACAGACAAATAAACAAACAACCAAAGTACTCTTTTTGGAAGAGCTTTTTGCATACTCAAAGAGAACAAACGAACAAAAAACAACAAAGACTTTCTTCAGTCTTGATATTATCCTGATATTAATTATGCTTATCTGCATATTAATTATGCTTATATGCTTGTCTGTTTTAGTTAGTTATGTCTGCATCTCTTGTATTATCCTGGATAGAGCTGGAACCCATTCTACTAAATGAAGTATCCCAAGAATGGAAAAATAAGCACCACATGTACTCACCATCAAATTGGTTTTAACTGATTAAACACCTAAGTGCACATATAGGAATAACATTCATCAGGTGTCGGGCAGATGGGAATGGGGAGGAGGAGATGGGTATATTCATAAATAATTCTGAGAAACTATAGGGATTTAGGTGCCCCAATTACAATTGACTTGTGAATGAATATCTTTCAGTAGATAATAAAGGGACATTTAATTTTAAAGAGTAACATTAGGTTTACCAGATTTCCTATTCAAGAAGTATTAATATTTTTTTAATTTAAGCTTTCTCACAAAGTAGTTCTTTAGTTTTACCTGGAACCAAATGCATATAATTTGAGAAGATGTACCCTCAGCAGTAAAGGGCTGGTCTCTAACCCTCTGGGACTCACCTCCCCCTCTGTAGACTGCAAATGGAGCTCCTTCCTGCAGGTAGCCTTGAAATCTCCTGCAGCAGCGCTCACCTGGACCCCACGAGGAGCTTCCATTATCAAGGATCTTGTCGGTGATTCAAGCCTAAGAGAAAAATAAAAAAATTCATTAATAGAAAAGAGAAAAATTATGGTGAACTAAAATACAATATTATTTAACTGAAAAGAATCAACCAGACAAACGTGCAGGAAGGCATAAATAAAAATCCTTGCCTTTTTTAACAAAGCCAGATTGAGTTTTAGAATAATTTTGGAACGCCTTATCCGTTTTTTCACTCTTTATGAATACCTTCATTTGTTCACATCAATTATTTAATCTCATTTGCATAATGATTTAGTAACAGTTTCTTATGTTGTTTCACTTCATAATGCTCCTGACCAGTAGGTTGTGATAAGTTTACTTCTTTAAATCCTTTATATATTATCAATAGTGATGACAGAGCTTTAATAAATAAATTACTACAATTCAGGATGTATGTATTCCTTAATCAAGAGTCCCTGTCTTGCAAAGATGAGAGCTTTAATGAAAATCACTAGTATTGCAAACTTTCAGGCATGCACAGTTAAAATTTTGTAAACTTCAAAAAATTCAAAGTGCTCCTTACTGCTCTGGGAATTCATTAAAATAGAAATAAGACATTTCCTATATCAACTGACCTCTACTGGCCCAGTGAAACGTCCACAGAATGAGTGGCATTAGTCTGAGAAAGAAAAATCCAATGGAAGCTAATATGTGAAAATGACATTGAAGGTACATATGTGATTATAGATTGATAAAATAAATTGTATGGGGAAAAGTGTTTTAGATAGTTATGTCTGCAAAAAAGACAGTTGGAGGCAGTTTGAAAATTATCTTCAAGAGTATTTCCCACGTTTTCTTCTGGAATTCTTATAGTTTCACGCCTTAGGCTTAAGTCTGTTATCCACCATGAGTTTATTTTTGTGAGAGGTGAAAGGTGCGGATCCTCTTTCAATCTTCGACATGTGGCTATCCAGTTTTCCCAGCATAATTTATTGAATAAGGATTCTTTTCTCCAGTGTATGTTTTTTGTCTGCTTTGTCAAAAATTAGATGGCTATATGAGGATGGTTTTATATCTGGGTTCTCAGTTCTGTTCCATTGGTCTATGTCTCTGTTCTTGTACCAATACCATGCTGTTTTAGTTACTATAGCCTTGTAGTATAGTTTAAAGTCCAGCAAATTGAGGCCTCCCATTTTGTTCTTTTTGCCTAGGATTGCTTTTGCTATACGGGGTCTTCTCTGGTTCCATATGAAGCGTAAAATTACTTTTTCTATATCTGTGGAAAATGATGTTGGTATTTTAATAGGGATTGCATTGAATCTTTAGATCACTTTAGGTAGTATAGACATTTTAACAATGTTGATCCTGCCGATCCACGAGTATGGTATGGTTTTCCACCTGTTTACATCTTCTGCTATTTCCTTCCTCAGTGTTTCGTAGTTCTCCCTGTAGAGGTCTTTTATCTCCTTAGTTAAATATATTCCTAGGTACTTTATTTTCTTTGTTGCTATGGTGAAGGGTATTGAGTCTTTGATTTGGTTCAAAGTTTGACTGTTATTGGCATATAGGAATGCTATTGATTTCTGTACATTGATTTTGTAACCTGAGACTTTGCTGAATTTGTTTATCAATTACAGTACTCTTATGGCAGAATCTTTGAAATACTCTTCTAGACATTGGCCTAGGCAAAGAATTTATGAAGAAATTCCAAAGGCAATCACAGCAACAACAAAAATAAATAAATGGGACCTGATCAAATTAAAAAGCTTCTGCACAGCCAAAGAAACTGTCATGAGAGC